TTTTGGGAGGTGGACCATTCCCAATATATAGCCACGTTTCACTAAATTATTGGCCTGTACATTAAATGTAACGGATATCCGAATAGTGATTTCAGTGTTTGAATACTGGCACTTTGAACTGTTAACAGGGTACTTGAGTACCCATGCACATCCCACCACCCATAACAATCCAGTCAAGATAGTGGCCATTAAAAGGCTAGATGACTAACACAAATTGTACATCAACAAATGGACTATAGTCTCTGACCTACGATCTTTCATTGTGCAACACCAGTGCTGTCCTAAAAGTGCTGTCCTACATTATTTACAGCAAAAATGTGTTGTTCTTTTTGCTTCCCTACAGTTAACTGGGTATCTGTTTATGAACTCTTACAGATACTCAAATATCAAAATATCAAAACTAATCTCAACCTTGCAGTGACGCCACAGTACCTGATACATTCGTATCAGCACCACACACACACTACTATACCACTACCATGTCAGTGTCACTACTGTATTGAGAATGGTCCACCACCCAAATAATACCTGCTCAACAGTTGTCCTGTGGTCAGAAAGTGACCAGTGATGGTAGAGGGTGGCTGACAAATTGGGCATGGACTACAATCTGTAATCATACGCCTAATAAGTGGCCGTTGAGTGGAAGCTTGACCTTAGTGTAACCCTGAATGATAATTTAGCATTTATGTCTCATGTCAGTAATATTTTTAGAAACTTGATAAACATATCCAAAATAAGACACATGCTACTGTGCAAGATGTGGAGAAATTACTTCATACTTTCATAATTACTAGATTAGACTGCTGTAATGTGCCACTGGCTGGGTGCTCTCCAAATAGGCTCAGCTATAATCATATTTTAGTTTTTAAGAAGTTGCAATTTGATCTTTAGCTGTTTTTATTTGTTTATTTGTTTGTTTTTATTACTTTTTATCATTTGTTTACTGGACCATTTCTGTTGAAATTGTATTAATTGGTTTATTATGTTGGTTTTATTTTATTGTTTCACTTCATAATTAAATCTTAATTGTTCTCTTGATTTTTTTCCAATTTATCTTATTTCATTTTACTGTTAATTTGTTTATGTAGTTCAGTTTATTTTAGTTTAACTTGATTAAATTCCATTTTAATTTCTTTTTCAATCCCTTTATACTGTAAATGCTCAGCTGCACATGACTGTCACCTTTAATGTATTCCAGGGAAAATAGAGGTAGGTTGATTGATAATGTAGCAGACCATGCACTTACCAGGAAAAGTACACTTCTTATTAACTTATTAAAGACCAAAAGTCTTCTTATTAACTCAGAGATTTAAGTGTTTAATAGTGTTATAGCTTGTCCAGACCACTTCACTCAGCTGAGGCAGACTTACTTCTCGTATCACTTACAGCTCAAGTGGCGGAAGATTATTTTCTTATGTCGCAGTGAATATTATGAATGGAAGCTCAATAGTGTTTTTAAAACTAGATTAAAAACATATTTGTTTAGGCTAACATATACCTAGAGGTTTTGTGGCTCATTTTCTCCTGTTTACTATGTTCAGTTGTAGTTGTAACATCAGAGGCATGTAGTTAGGTCACAGTTGTGAGAAGGCTTTATTCAGAGCAGACCAACACTTATAGTCCATAGGACAGGCAGGGGTCAAAGGACAGGCAGGCAAAGCAAGAGGCAGATCCTTATTCAAAAACCAGAAAGACAAGCCAAGGGTCAAAACACTGGCACAAACAAAGGAGAAGCAGCTTGGAATTCAGGTTAGAAATGCAGAGACTTCGCACACAAACAGGAAAAACAGAGGGATGTATGTAGGAGCCTTAATTAGTCCAGAGATCTGCAGGTGTGTGAAATGGAGGAGTGGGTGGAGCCAGGGTGGAGCTGGGAAAAAAACAAAAGCCCAGGCCTAGCCATACATTGTGAGTGGTTACGTTGGTGCTGTATTGTAGTACCTTTTTGTTTGCGAAAAGAGATGTGCCTGTAACATGTTAGCACATACACTGTATGTCCGAAATGCTGTGGACACTGCTTCTAATTGAGTTCAGGTGTTTTAGCCACAACCTTTGCTAACAGGTGTATAAAATCAAGGCTGTTTTAGCCACAAAGGGCGGTCAGCAATTTCATATTACATTTATTTTGGAATGAGATATCCAACAAGCTCATATTGGTGTGATGGTCAGGTGCCTGTATACATTTGGCCATATAGTCGTTCTTATCTGGTCTTGTTGTTCATTTTATCAGGTCCACATGCCATATAGGTGCACTTTGTAGTTCAGCAATTGTAGTCCATCTGTTTCTCCACGTAATTTTTTAGGCCCCCCTTTACTCTATTCTTCTATGCCCACAAGACCAACACTGAGCAGATTTTACTTGGGTGATGGATCATTCTCAGCACAGCAGTAACACTGTCAGGAAACAGCAAAAGATGAGATATAGCCTCCGAATTTACATCTACAAAGTGGACCAACAAGGTAAGAGTGGACAGTGAGTGTGCACAGTTTTTAAAAACTCCAGAAGCAGAATCTGACTGATGGAACAATACAGGAGGACCGCAGTGTGTAGAACTACTAAGTGTATGCATATGGCAAGGGGACCGAATATAGATACAATGTAAGTGTACCTAATGTGGCCAGTGGGTGTATAAGCGCACTCCAATAAAGATAAGAACATTGCTATTCACTGCTAATGAAAGTTGCCTGTCAGTGGACTGTGTAATAAGATTCAATTACCTGTCAAGTGAGCATGAATTCAAATTCATCCTGTTTAGACAGACAGCAAGGAAGGAAGTAGCCGATATTATCATGTGCTTCGGCATACATATGCAAAAAGCAGTGAGACGGTATTTGCAAATTCAAATACACATTTATTAATATCACATTAACAGTAACACTGCTGGTCCGCTTCTTTTAAACGTGCACAGTGTGACACTGAAAAAAATGTATTGTCAACTTTGACAAGTCCAAGGCACTTCCTCCAAACAAACACCTCTTCGTGCTTGCAAACTTGCTGTCGAGTTCATCAGAACAAAGAGCCCCACACAGGATATCCGGTTTGTGCAGATCATTGCAGTACAGCAAAGACTTTAAAACTTCGTGGCTTTGCGGCTTGACACTCGGCCTGTTCAAGGCATAAACCAGGCCTACTATGCTGCTCTGTGCAGTCGTACAATGCACACCCCAGTGTACTCCATCACTCAAGGAATGAAGGCAGCATGCCTGTACTTTTTCTTCTGGTTAATGTCAAACAACACAAGTCAGTCTGAGTGTCTTTTCAAGTCAGATTGTGTTAATTCCCAGTTCGGTCTCATTATTCTTATTAGAGAAGGGTCGTGTTTTGGTTTGTCTTCTCTAATTGTTGAATTGCTAGTTGTGGTTGAAGGCTAGTGCTGCAGCTATAGATATGGCAATCTGTCAAATGACGGAGGCAAAACCAAATCATACCTCAGGACGTGAGGAAAAGCGTCACAGAATGTGTTTGAAATCATGTCACCATCAAGATGTGGGTTTATTTTAGATGTGTGAATCTAAACCTGTATCAGAATTCTCTCTTCCTCTCTCAAGTTTTTCCATTGTTGTTGATATTGTCCTGTTGATAGTGTTTGTTTGTTTGTTTGTTTGTTTGTTTGTTTGTTATGATTGGGTATGAAAAATGAGCTACAGTGACATGCTTTGTGATTTTCTAAGTGAAAATAAGTTAACACATCCTCTACAGGGAACACCCTTAACTATGCCATTTTCTGCAAATTTTAGTGCACAGTTTGAGTTTAACATAGAAAAATTAAAACATTAAATGTAAGCTATGCAATAACTTTTGCACAGGCGACATTTTGTGTTCGGGATTTTTGTTTCCACAACATGTTAAACTCAGCAAATAAACAATAATTGTCCAGAAAAATTGTAAAGAAAACAAAATGTGTAATTTGACTAGGGTGCCTGAACGTTTGTATACAACTGTATGAATTAAGCTTATTGTTATCATTTTTATTAGTATTATTAAAAATATCTCATATCGTTTCATATATTTTGTTTTATAGTGCAAAAATCAATAAGTATTCTCATTTCATTTTATTTTTTTCTAGTATTCCTAGCAGTAAATTCATCATCATTATTATTATTTAAAATAATGTTTATTATTTATTATTTTAATAGCAGTCATTTATAATATATATCTTAATACTGTGCAGAAGTCAGATACCACCCTTTAATTTATTTACTTTCCAGTAAAAACAGCCCATAAATTCAAGTTAATAATTTTTCAGTTTCAGAAAAAAAGCAGAAAATATAATTGTTATACATTTTAACTGTAATATCAGTTATATTTAACTTTAATATCAATTAAAAAAAATAACCAAAGATACAGAGAAAATGGGACAACTAACAACAGTGCAGGACTTGGTAGACCACCCAAACTGTCATCTTTGAGACAGTGGAGAAAATCAAGCTTCACTTTTGAATTAGATCTGAAAAAAAAACACAGGAGGTTCTGACCATACTTCCACTGTGAGAAGACAACTCCGCACTAGACAGAGTCTGAAAGGATGCGTAGCTGTCAAAAGCCCTTACCGAGAAAAGGAACTGGACAAAAAAGTGAACGTTTGTACAAGAACACCAAAGTCGAACACTGAAGAGTAATGTTTTATGGAAAAAAAGAATAAAAAAAGCTGTACTCAAAAAATAATAAATCCATGATTGTTTCTTGATAGTGTACTTAATGGTCATTTTGACTGGAAATGAAAACGAGAGGGTGGTCTCTGACTTCAGCACATTACTGTAGGTTTACAATATAACACTACAAAATATTAGATATGTTAGTTCTAAAAATATATAATTTTTGTCAAACATATTGTTTTGTTATAATGTAATTTTTAAAAAATTTATACACATAATATTAATATGTAATATTGCAATATGTATTTATATTATAATTATGTAAATAATAAAGTTAATAATAGTTGTTATCACTATTTTTGTTATTATTACAATGTGCAGTATATTCCAGATGCAGACAAATTTAATGCAGTAAGAATATGTCTTTAGGAAAATTAGATTTTATTATTTTTTAAAACTCAAGTCGGGTTCAGTTATATCGTTGAAGTCTGCGTAATGATGAAGTAAACAATGTCTCTCTTAGGAACGCAGTTTTAGGAACAAAAGATGCAGAACTGGTACTTTCAGTGCTGCAAAGATCATACTTTCCAGGTCTTGGGGAAAATTTCCATCTTATAGCATAAAAAGAAATGTGCAACCAGTCTTTCTGAGGAACTGTGACCTCAGAAGCTTTCATTTCATTTACATGTTTGTCTTAGCTGCAGTTTCCATCACTCCGTCCGAAGTCGAGTTCCACATACTACGTACATATTTACAATAGCATTGCACGCTGTTCTCCTGCTTCTGTAGTTCTGCATTTAGGCGAGTGTGGAAATTTTCAGAACACCACAGAACTTTTCACTTGTGATCATGAACAACATGTTACATGATACATATTATGCAAAATGTACACATATTGCCAAGTTTACAACATAACTCAAGTTATAATCCTGTATGTTCTGTCCTTTAGAATGATGGCATAGCATCACACATGTTGCGTTTTGACCGGATGTGGTTTGGGATGCAGGTGGCTTTCGTCTACTAATTGAAGTATAATATAGTTTCAAACTACAGTTCCAGACACAGTAACCTTTCTAGTGTGCCAGTTTAGCAGTCTATTTACAACATAAATTTCTGATGAAGCCCATATTTAACAAACGCAGATGTGGCCTGATTCTAGCTGTGGTGATGAGAGAGGCTCTATTCTTTCTCTGTCAGTTCTTTAATCCACAGTAATCTTGCACTAATCCAATCAGCATATTTACACTTTCTCCTTGTGAAGTTGAGCGTCTTGTGGTCTGGTGGGACTTCCTTACTACCTCTTGTGGTAACATTACGTCATTTGAGGCTCTGTGTTAACCTGTAGGTGGGATTTGACTCTTGTGTACCCCTCTTTGCACTTTTTGTTTACGTTGCAGAGACCTTTAGCAAACACAGTGCCCTGGCAAGATCTATCTTTAAGAAAACCTGGCCTGGCAGGGCACTGTGTTTGCTAAAGGTCTTTGTCTTTCACGTATTGTGAAGTAGCTAAAACACTGGGCGTAAGCTTTTGCTTTAGTTACATTTTATGAATGCCACTGTGATGGCAGTAATAACATGCAAATGGCAGTAATAAAAAGCAAAGTAGCCTTTAAGCCATGTGCAGGATGTGTTAGATAACTAAGAAAATGTCTGGCCTTCCCTTAGTTGCACAAGTGGGTGGAAAGAGGGACTGTCCTCCTAGCATGGTCAGGGTTTTTTTTAATGAGCTAAAATGGTGTGGCTTGATTCCTGGAGTTACAATTGAGTTTAAAGTGTGAGTATGATTTCTGGAATTGAGTCTTAAAGATGAGTCTTAAAAATGAGTCCTACCATCACTGATTTGTAATTCTTGGCACTCATAGCCCTCATATGTGAGTGCAGCAGTGATGAAGTAACGTAGAGTGGACTTTTTTGAGTAGTAATACAAACTATACAGAAAACTATTATTACAATGATCATTATCATGTCCTCTAATACATTCCTGTCCGTCCTCAAGCTTGAAAGTGACTTGATACTCGCCTCAGCCTCAGCTCGGAGACTGAGACTCTAGTCGAGCTTGCAACAAAACTGATTATGTGCAGTCTAGTCCAAAAATCATCCTTTTAAAGAGTCTATAACTAAGGAAATGAAAAATATATATAGGTAGAAGTCCAACACAGGTCTCTTACAAAGGTGTGTTGGATGTTTCGTTCTCCGAGGCTTTCGACTGAATTGATGTGGTCTGGTAGAGCTTGATACGGAGTAGATACTTTGCCACACATTTCCTAAACTTTTCTCCGACAAAGGCGTAGATCACTGGATTCACACAGCAGTGGACTAGCGCGATGGTTTCAGTCAGCTCCAAGGCCACATTGATCTGCTGACTGGCCTCGCATGACTGCAAGATTTCCAGCTGCTCCAGGGTCTGCAGGAATACGGCCACATTATACGGCACCCAGAAGACCACAAAGACGCTGACGATAGCAAAGATCAACTTCATAGCTCGACCTCTTTTGGAATTCTTTGTCTTCCTCAGCACCAGTAGAATCCGGACGTAGCAATAGACCGTGATGGGCAAGGAGATGAAGAGGCCTACTGTATTTTCACCAAAATTGCGGAACAGCTTCCATGTTCTGGCCGACTCTTCCGGGTATATCCTCTGGCACTGCGTTGTGTTATCCTCTGAGACCATACCGGCGAAAATGGCCTCTGGCAGCACAGCACAGAAGGAGATTGTCCAGATCACAAGGCTGACGGCCACTCCATAGCGTAGCGTTCTTGTCCTCATAGCTGCCACGGCATGAACAATGGCCAGGTAGCGGTCTATGCTCATCAATGTCACGAAGAGGATCCCACTGTAGAAGCCCAGGTGATAGGTTCCTGCCATGGCTTTGCAGACGGCGTCGGCACCTAAGTGATGACCCTGGTTGTAAAGTGCCCATGAAGGCAGGGACAGGACGGTCAGCAGGTCGGACAGCGCCAGGTTGAGCAAGCACACATCAGTCATGCTCTTCAGGTGCATCACCTTCAGGAGGACCCACAGGACTATGCAGTTGCCAAGCAGACCCAGGGCAAAGACCAGGTAGAAGAGTGCGGACATGACAGCTGGGTTCAGGACAGACATCTTGGTGTCACACGGCCCCGAATCATAATCATACTCTGTAGTGCTTGAGTCCATTGTGGTCATGCTGCCGTAAAGAGAAAAGTGTATACTGAGAGAGAGCATTTGAGCATTAAATGTGTTACTGCTATGTTTATGTTGGCAGAAACCCCAGCAGCAAAAAGGAAGATCTTTCTGTAGAATCTTGTCATCAAAAGCAAATACAGTGGAGAATATTCCACTGTTGACATATGTATTCTACACTCATGTGCTGACTCATCATGTAGAGTAACTAGGGTGAAAACTGTTTCAGAGAAAACATATATTCATTTGCATGGTGACCGATAACAGAAATGTTATTTGAACCCTGGAAAATTTGAGCTGAGTAACACATTCTATATCTGATGCACTGCACTACAAAATAACAGTTTACATGCACGTGTACTGCCACAAGTTATCTAGCAATAGTAAGTCAAGGTGACTGAAAACATCTTTGAAGACTTTAAGTTCAGTTACCACAGCTAATAGAGATCCACATATCCTAATAAATCAATAAGCGTTAAGCACTACTAGACAATTTGAAGACATACTGTTACATCGATACAGGAATATCGTTACAGGAAATTTCTTACACATGTTGTTTTTCTTTTGAGATTGTATTCCAATACCAGTTATTTTGTGTTCAAACTGCTTAATTTCCCCTAGTTTGAATTATTCCAATATTAAACTTGCAATCACTGCTACTGAGTTATGGTTAGTAGCTATTTTAACCCAAGCAAACCCGCCGCTTGTAGTTTCCTGTGTCTAATACAATTTTTCTGCTTACTACATTTAATCATAAAGCTTCAGTAGCTGTATACTTTCTATGCTTACTGACCTACAGTTCGCCCTTACTCTATTGCACCTGCATTCACATTATTACAGATAACACCATGTTCCAGCTTAGAAATTCAGCACACCTGAAGCTTCTTGGACATGATCGATTACATACACTCCTCTTCCCCTATAAGGCAAACTCCTACGTAATTAACTTCATTGCGGTTTCATCACAGCTTCATTTGTCCAAACATCTTAGGACCGAAAACAATTTAAGATCTTCTCTCAGCTGTTCCAGTTTAGACCGCAACGTATGCTTTATGCTAGCATCTTTGTGCACGAGCATTGTATACTTTCAGCACCTCATCAACCACAGGCCCCTTAAAGAGCCCACCACAATCCTACTACTACTAAACATTCATTTATCTCTGTGGTTTGATCTGTAGTTCCTGTTTAGCAGTTACCTTACAGCTGTCACTGACACGTTCAGTGTAGGGCTCAGGCCCACAAATGCTGCAATGGTACAGTAAACTGATTATATAGTCGCTTTAGACAAGTATATATTCAAATTTCTGGTTACCTTTCTGTGGTCCCAGTGTCCTCCATATTGGGATAGACTTAGGAGCTAGGAGCTAGGACTGGCGTCCTTTTGTTGTGTGTGTTCAACTGAGGCAAGGGCATGTCACCTTTCTCTTTTACTTGATCTTTACCTCGAGCAAATTTCCTGTAAAATCAGCCTGTGTGAGTGCAGGGGGGAGGCCGAGATGAGACTTCCTGCTAGTTGCATTTGCTAGTGTGGAAGCTGCAGAAACTCCAGACGAGAAGATAAGACTGTGTGAGTCATTCAGCTTTATGCTGTGTTTCTACTCAGAGGCTAATAAGCTACCCCCACCTACGACCACAGTCTTAAATCACCATAGCTAAAGATGAGGTCAGCAATCGTGCTACAGTTTTTGAAAGCTAAGGTCATTTTGTTAGCTGATTGTATTGGGTATGTTTTAACCTTTTTGACCTTGTCATAGCTAACATCATGAACAAGGGAGAGGAGCATGGAGGCCAGAAGCCTGACTGTATAGGATAGAAATGTGCTCAGAACCCTGTTACTAGGCGGCCACAAGCTTGGTAGTACAGCAGCACAGCTTTTGACCAACCATCAATCTGATGACTATGCGCTCTGCTAGTAAACTCTGAGTTAGCCTTTCATTTTTAACACCCCTTTGCTCACTTGGCCCCACCATTTCACCTCGGGGGAATCCCTGCTGCTATTACTATTACTATTATGAATGGTGTTAGGTGAACCCTGGGAGGGGTTAAGGGCTGAGTGAACACAAGTGTCAACTTCAGCGGAAGACACATTTCTCTTCACAAACCTGAACACGTTTCTCTTTACAAACCTGAACAAAATGGCAGATAAAGGTGTTTCTGAGCCAAAATATACTTTAAAACGCTTAATATTTCAACAAGGGCTGAGTTATTTAAGAAAAACATATAATTGTGTTTTTCTTCTGACCAACATTGTGACTGCAATTTAAATTTAGATTATTTTTCTTTAAATTAAAGTCCTTGTCAGTTAGTTGTGGTTGTGCTGTACACAACTAATGGGTGTTAGGTTACTTTTGATTCATCTAACTTATCTACAGGTAGATGACAAACTCCATGTTATTAGGTTTAAAGCTTAAAACAATGCTGTTGATAATATACGCTTTCATTAAAATTGCACTCTTTCAAATTGCAGTTTCACTCTAAAAATGGTGGATCTTTCAGCTCTATTTAAAAATCATAACATTCAATTTGCTATGTTCTGTGTGCTTTACTCTGCTAGCTTGCTAGCAATCTTAAGGCTATAGTTTTTATAGCAAAAACAAAAAATAAAGGTGATACAGCACAGTTCTAAAGCAAAGCCAGCCAAACAATACTTCACAGAATGTATGTATTTTATGTTCAAACTTCTCAAAGAATGTTTTGCATTATAAAGTTTGTCTGGCTAGCTAGTAGGACCACTGAGGCTAACCCAGCCTCGTTCTGAATAATCCACTCCTCGCTGTCCCCTCCTTCCCTTGTGTTACGAGTGATCACTCGTGTAACCTAACTGTGAAGCACTTCCAAGAGGTGAGTTGAAGTTGGCAAGGGCATGTTAAAACTACTGGGAGCCATGAAGTAGCCAAAAAACTGTTTTGGCTGTCCAAGGTAGCTGCTGTGATGTTAGGTTTGTTGCAGGATGCAAATTGTCAGATCATAATATGTTTTGCTAAACAAATTGATAGAAATATGCTACTTTGAGACTGTGCCAATAGTCCTGTGTCTGAAAGATAGATATGCATGCTGTTCTCCAGTTGTTAGTGGGCAAAATTCAGCGATGAATGTAAACAACCTTCCAGTAATGAGTTATGAATCAACAAGTGAATTCCCTTCCCTCTGACAGTAACCCTCTCATCAACTGAGCGACCTTTGGCAGACCATTGACTCATCAGTCAATCTATCTGTACAGCAGGTGGTCATTCGCTTGTGTGCTAGTCAGTCTGAAACTCTGTAGCAACGATTACAGAGTATCAGATTTGGGTACTATTGTGGATGCTATTGTTTGCTGTCTAAATCATTGTTAGAGGAACTGCGTGTGGTTTTAAGCTCCACTTCACATCGTTTCCTTTCTTGGAAGGACTGTTTCTCCCTCTCCCACACAGATGGCTCTGTCGCTTCCTCAGACGTTAATGTTCCTCTTTGCGAGTGTGTTAAAGGGTTGTGAGGATTTACGAGAGATTTACGTGAACTGGTTAAAATGATGCTTGTATAAGTCAGCTGTGAACATCATGCTCCAAATAGTAAGCATATACACAGTTTTACACTTTAGTTATTGTAAACAACAGCACAAATTGTAAACAATAGCACAAGACAAATGTTTATTGCAAAGGGGAATATAAACTTCATACAACAATTTGGTAGCAAAAACACAAAATATTTATATTTTTTTCCCAAAGCTTTTTTTGTAATTTTTTTTTTTAATTATTTTTTTTTACATTTAGAACTGAAAAAATCAGCAGTACTCAAATGTGCTCAGAACACCCTTTTCTGCTGTATGAAGTCCATGCAGTATTGAAATGTGAAAGAAGACAAAGCATAAAATGATTCATAAACATTAAAAATGGATTAAACCCTTAAACTCTAAGGACTTGTGAAATGTCCAGGCTTCCATTTCTATTTACAGAACTTGTTAGTTTTATAGTAGTTACTGAATTCCTAGCATTTACTGTATAAAAAGCCTTATGGTTAATAGATGAATAGCAAGCTTAGAGTTTAAGGGGCTGAATGATATCAACAATTGAAAGTGAAAAGTCCCATCACCAACTGGAAAAGAAACCCAACATGAATATGCAATTGCACACTTTCACAAACTAAAACAGGGGGTAGCGATAGCATGCTAGGCTTAGCTGAGCTTCTGATTTCCTCTGATTAAACCACATTAGCATGGGCTTGCTGCGGCTACACAATCTTTGTGGTGGAAATGTCTGAGGAGCGCACGGAGTACATGGAGCTCCTCCTATCTGACAACTCACTGGTAATCATTCTGCACTCGTTGAAGCAAATCGGAAACCATGGTTTCAAGGTCTTAATGACTAATGTCCTGAATTTCTGGCCCACGAATGCGTAGATGATGGGGTTGAGGCAGCAGTGACTGAAGGCAATGGTTTCCACCCACTGCATGGCCAAGCCCAGATCATGCTGCCATTCGCAGCTTTCAAGGTGCCCAGAGTGATGAAGGAGGTGCATGAACGTGACCACGTTGTAGGGTGTCCAGAAGACAAAGAAAACTATGATCAAGACCAGGATGAGCCTGATGGCTTTGTGCCTCTTCTGAGACTTCATGGTGACCAAGGTGGGGATGATCCGAGAATAACAAAACACCATGATGAACATCGGGAGGATCAACCCAAGGATGTTTAGTTCTACGTAGCTGACCTTCCTCCATGCTGGGTCAGGGTATTCTGGCTTGCATGTAAGTCCGGTCGATTCGTTCTTTACTTGGGAGAATATAATGGTTGGCAGGGAAGCCCCCAGGCTGAGTGCCCACATAAATGCGGCCAGGGCTATGCCCACTCTCACTGACCGGTGCTTGGAAAAAAGGGAGGTGTGGGCGTGGACAATGACAAAGTAACGATCTACGGTCATAAGGATCATGAAGAAGATGCTGCCGTAGAAGCCCAGCATGTAGAACGACGTCACAGCGCGGCACATGAAATTCCCGAAGGTCCACTGGGTGAGGGCGGCATAGTGGGCCCAGAAAGGCAGAGATATGAGGAACAGCAGGTCGGACATTGCCAGGTTGAAGAGACACACGTCCGTCATGTTAGATCTTTGGCGGTATTTGACCAGGACGCATACAACCAGGCCGTTGCCAATGAAGCCCACGATGAAGACTATGCTGTAGAGGGTGGGGAGGAAGACTCGGCCAAAATCCCTTACATTGCCATTGTTGCAGGGCGAGGAGTCCCCATTGTAACCGTAGTAATCTGCATACTCTTCCGTTGCTAAGAAAACAAACAAAAACTCTTTATTACTCAAACTTTATTGACTGCTGTGATTTCTTTGTAAGATTGATACAAACAGCATGTAAAATAAAGTAATGAGACTCTAGACTTTCATTAAACAAGCTGGTGCAGCCATATGCAAAGTCTGGGCACCCGTGGTCAAATTAATGAAAAATGATTGTTGATTTTCCTGGTGAAAATAACTACACATGTTCTACAGAGAACACACTTCTGCATATTTTAACGCACAGTTACTGTTTATTTACTGAATTTGACATCTTGTCAACCTGTGCAGTTTTGGCACATTTTATGGTTTTATGTTTTTGTATTTTCCAACATGTTAAACTAAGAAAACAGATTAAGTTTGTTCTCTGTAGAGATTTCTGTAGAGATGTTTTAATTTGGAAAATCAACAAAACTTGTAATTTGTGTTCAAACCTTTGCGTAAAACTGTATATTGGTCATTTTCAACCAGCCAAGAAACATATGAATGAATGTTGATGATTTTTACATGTTTGTTTGCATTAAATTAATTGTTTTATTTGTGTCTCTGTTGAAAACGGAATATAAATTATGGGAGGTTCAGTTCGATTTGAAAGGAACTTCAGCGGATTAATTGGCTGGTGAACTGGTGACATTTCTCAATAGCAGTGTGGCCCATAAGACAGCTTTAGTGTTGTGCTGCCACACCATCTACTGGCAGCCATAAACATGCGCCACTCTCAGTAACCCTCTCTAGGCAAAATTAAAAGCAGCCATGTCAGAGAATGCATATTTTTATTTATTATGATGAGTCGTCTACTCGGTTTCGACTCCTGGCAAGCATATATTGTTTCTCCAGACTGTCCTGTCTTCTGTTTGTGTCTTAAGCTTCTTAATGTCTTGTTTGTGATACAGAGAACACATGTAAATAAGCAATTTTGACTTTTTCAAGATACATTAATGCCCAATAGTTATTTCCAGTTGAGGTTATATTAGGACTCACTACCCAGTACCAGTTTTGCGTAATTTTTTTAATTATGTGAAATTGCATGAGAAACCCTACAAGCACTACTTAGTACATGCATTAAAACTAGTAACAGCACAAAAAAGCTTCTATATTTAGCAAAGATCGAAGCTGAAAAAAGGGCACTTGTACTTACAATTACCGTTGGTCTCATTCCCAGCCATGTCTCATTAGTCCAAGAGCTCACAGTCAAATCAGGGAGGCAGCGCTCTGTGCTCTCCTATATATCAAGAGGCTGAACTGCTGTTTCCTGAGGCGGGCTTTCATTGCACTGAGAAAAAAAACAGTGTTTACCCGACTATTTGTACCAAGCTGAATATATCTGTCTGAACACATAAACTGGCAGTTTATGCATCTGTTATGATGAAGAAACTGACTGTATAAATGCTGGATGGATGATCAGTGTTACAAATATGCTGGGACATATTACTTCATATTCCTTTCATATAGTGCTTACTTGTCACTGTTTTTTAACATCGACTTTATTGCATATAAGCATAAATCCTTCAGTGCTCTTTCTTTGGAGTTTCTTTGTATTTGCCTTTTGGGAGCTTGGGGTGTCTTTCCAAAATACGAAGGTTTCTGTATCTACTGTTTTTAAGTAAAGGTGGTGTTGAAAATCAGGCTTCAAAGCATGATTCATAAGCCCACAGGCGTCTATTGGCGTCTAGACATTTGAAGGAAATGACAACGATGCGTCTCCAGTTATGTAAATCAGCTTTATTTTAAAATGGTTTTCAGAGTGACCACTTTCTTCTTTGCTGTACAGTGTTGGGTTAACTTTTTGGATCAATCTTCAACCCTTATTAGCCATTATTTGAAGATATTATGTAACTTTTCGAAGCTGTTCCGCAACTTTATGACAGAACATGGCATAAGATCAACTGAAGAAGAGTTTCCTTATGTTAGTCAGTGTGAATTATGAACAGAAATGTGTTGTTGTATACAAAACGGGGGAGAAACGAGGAAGTATTCTCATGTGTGTGCTCTAACGTTTTGGTGGTCATTCTGTAAGAAGTTAGGAACTTCCTTGAAACAACGCCCCCCACCCCCAGCCCTCCCACCCTCTCTGCAAAAAAATAAAAAATAAAATAAGAAAGTGTTACTGAAACTGGCAGGTTTCAGAATTATTAAGTCAGAGTAACATTTAAAGTTAGAATCAACCATGCTCAGTGCTAGCTTCTGTTCCATTCTTTTGATTCATTTTTCAGTGCTTTAAAGAACTTACAGTGCCCTCTTATGGTCAAAATGTTGGATAGTAACCAGGCATTTGTTTGCTGTGTAACATTAAAGGCCAGTCTTAATAAAGTGAAAGACAACTACGGTGGCTGTAACGTTCTTTAACACACACCTACAAACCAAACACTAATAAAATGTTAGATTTAATATGAAAGTATTAGTTTAAGCAATAAAAATTGAAATAGTTTTGTTCCAAAAGTAGTCATCCTCTTTAAAACAGCTATCTAGAACAATACAAGCCTAAACCAGCCATCTTCAGCACTGCAGGCTAAGGGGAAAGACACCTGTATGAAGTAGCTAATGCTAATACTCAGCTACTGGTCCACAGAAACTTCAGTAACAAAACTTTGAAGATGTATAGAGCTGGTACAAAGGCCTTGTCCATCTTTCAAAACTCCACTAAACCAATTAAGGAGTGAAAGATTTCTCTTAGCGCCTCCATTCCACCTATAACAGATCGTTCCACCAAACTGGATCACCAAGCAAGAAGACAGGCTGTCTGGAGGTCAGCTTCAGACCTGCAAGAGCTTGGTTCCTGTGAAGACTGGACATCAGCAATCCAACACAAATCTGACCTAAGTGGGAAGGTGACACAAGAAAGCTGGTACTCAAATCTGGAGTCATTATAATGCATAGGGCCTATTTAAAAACAAGCAAAAAACTACTATAAATATGATGCAGGGCCAAATGACCACTCTTTACTGCCATACCAACTCAGTCAGGAATTTGTCTCAGTGTGCTCAGTAAAATAAGAAGCAAAAAAAAAAAAGAAATGGGCAACTGATACAATGCAAAACAGATCATAAAACTCAGAAGAGTGACTGTAAGACTCAGAGGAGTCTTTGATACCATGCCGCATTTTAGGTCTTTATTATTCTCATTCTTACTGTGAGATATTTCATGTTCTCTGTGGGAGGTTAATATTTCTTTTTCATATATAAAAATAGTTTATGTCCCATGGGTTTTATACAAAATGATAAAATGTAATCATCAATATGCCACAGTGGAATTGTAATCTGCAGTTGCTAAAATGACGTAGGACGTAGTGGACACTACTGTTTTCACACCACACTTTCACATTCTGAGTTGTTGGCTTTATCTGTATAATTATTTTCATCTTTTTTAATTTGTAAAATGTTAGGCTAAGTTATTAAAATAGCCTGCATGTTTGGCTATTATGCACGTTTTTTTCATGCCTAGATGCTTTGCAGGTTGCCACGTGCTGTTCCACATGGAAACAAAATGCAATGTATCCCTGTCTCTCCTCCAAAAATACATAAAGATTTAAAAAATCTATTTTTTATTATGCCATAAACATTTTATGTGTATTTCATCGGTTATAGAATAAATGGTTAAAGCTTTCGTCTCCGCTACTTTTTCAGGAGGAAACGCCTTGAAACTGGAACGAAAATCTCTGTTTGTCCTGCCCTCTTAATTATATATTCATATATGTAACAGGCTTGACCAACCAGCGCTCGCGTATGGACAACACGGCGAAGCTTTGAAACGCGGCTAGCCAATCAGAAGAGATGACCGTGAATAGCAAAAAACGTTGCTAGGGAACCGTTGTGTTTGCTAAGAATCCCGCCTCTCGCATTAGGATTGGCTGATATTTGACTACTCGTAAGGTTATGACTGGCCATTGGTCCATAGCCACAAGCAGTCAGCCAGTCCCAGCTCGGGAGGCGGGACCTGTCGGAATACGGGTTGGAAAGAAAGTAGACAAATACCGCCTCCAGCCTGATTGACATGGCCGTTACCGGCTGAAAGGGTTATCGACGGTGAAAGGATTTTACTAGAATTCATGTGTGATTTTTCCGGGACAAGGACTTGTTCGTTGTCGCTGAGCTGGGACTATATAAATATGTGAATTCCCGTGAGTATGAAATGGTTGGTACAGTAGTTTAAGTCTCGGTGTGCTGAGTGTGAAGCTGAAGGTGAAGCTTACAACTGACAAGTGGCCAGTTTTGAAATGACCACGGGCAAAAATAGTCTGCATGTTGGCTGAACTGGTGACTGGTGACGGTGAGGTAGTGGATATAAAAGTTTATGGGGTTTCTTCTGTGAATTGGAAGGGAATTCATTTTGCTGTGTAGCATGAAAGATCCCACACTTTAATACCAAGTACTTTCCTTTACTTTACCAAAGTGTGTAGAAATGGATTTAAATGGAGTCTAAATGAGGTAAAAATGTAATGAATATGTGCTTTTCGAGTCTTTGGCTAAAATAATTATTGAATATGTGGTTTTTCTTAAAAAGTCTTTAGGTAAGCATGTAATGAATGTGTGCATTTTTGAGTCTTTTAAACGGTATTAATTATCAAGTATATTTGTAAGTAAAAGTGTCTGCTGAGTCTTTTTTCCTAAATTTCATGTTTGATCTTCACGTTCAGTTTCTCGTTTTTTTCTGTGGATTTAATTCTGTGGAGTTGGTTCAGCACCTTGGTCCAGCTCACACCTCCCACTTCAGCATTTTATTGTAGTCAAAAATAGTCCTGAAAAAAAGGAAAATAACTGTTAACATACTTAAGTTCCTATGCGGAAAGGGTGGAAAGATGCTATATATACTAAGAAGTTCCCCTGCAGTTTGGCATCTGAGGAGTTTTTGTTCTGGCACTTTTTTCTCTTGCATTCCTGTTGTAGACTTTCACTAGAAGATGGTTTTTATGTTTTATACCCACCTCTGCTTTTAGATGCTGTGGAACTCGACTGGCTTTGAATGGCATTTGCCCAGAGTGGAAAAGTCTGAGGAGGACCTTGAAAAGTGGATGTAGTCTTGTCATTGAGAGCTCCATAAGGTTATGGATTTGGGTACTTCTGCAAGACCTCCAGTTGGGTAAGCCATGCTTGAAAATTGCTATAGTTTAAGCCCAACAAAGACACAATATAGCTGAACAGAGTTAGAATTAGCATGCTACTATTTGTGTGGATTGACTTTGCCAGTCTTGAGTTGAATGAAAGATTTTTCAAGCATAGACGTTTATAATCGTGTGACAATCAGTGATGCTGCTTGGAAGAATAACAGTAAATAGGACACTTTTGGTCAGTGTATCAGTTGCAGCCTTGCTGCCTTGGCCCGCTGTAGACCTCACGAATGTCCTAGGTGTAAATGGATTTGCGTAGGTCAGCATCTTTACTCTCTTGTGGTAATTTGTGTGATACTGAGATGATATTATTGTGTAGTATTGATGCAATACTAGAGATAATAATGATGTTGTATAGTGGTGCAGTAATTCCCTCTGGATGTATTGTGTATGTGGCCTATTGGACACGTTCTGGCAGCTGCTGGATTTGGAAGACCCTGTAAGTGCTGCCTTTGTGCCAAGCCTGCAAATGAATTTGTACTCTTTCTGTAGCCCTTTTGTCACCTCTTCTGTTGACTCAATAGGCTGACGCTCCATTTTATAAAGTGAGCAGGGCAGAGACAAAACAACAAACCGCTATAAACTGTAAAACCTGCCTCTGTTTTGAGCGCTGAATGATTTTGTAATCAGTACATTCCAACATGCCAGCAGTGGAATCTGATGTGAGATTTTGGCGATGCCTCTGAAGACCATATATAACTAGCTGCTTTCAGTGGTTCTGCCGTATGTATGGCATAGAGTGAACTGCTCTCCTGTCTTAGAGAAATCTCTAGGTACGCAGAATAGCTCAACTGCCATTGAGAGTTTAGCCTGCTGTCCCTGACAGGACAACAGTCTGCTTTGTCCCTCTCACCCCCGGCCCCCTGTCCTTTTATGTAATCAGACCCCATTCCAAAGCAGAAGCACTAGACGATCAGGTTTATTTAAAGCCTACAGTTGCTGAACATTCTCACAGCAAAGCCACGTCTAGATCAAAGTGTGTTTTGAAGGCTTCATTTGCTGAAGAATTTGAAGTTAAAATGGTTTAATGATAGAATGGGATTGAGGGTACTACTATGCCGGCAAAAACATCAGATTCCAATTGCTGATCTCTGTGATTTTGATGCAAATCTGTTTAGAATTTCTTTTTTAAAAGTGTAAAGG